AGTGTATTGTCTTTGATACAGTTATATTACGTGTCAGATCGTCATTGTTAGTGAAGATGAGGCCCACCGTATTTTCTAGTCTTATAGGTTCTAATATTTGCTGGTTTAAGGTGAATTTGGTGCAGAGATTTAATAGCTCGTTTGTCTGTGAATTTTCATCTGATCTGCCTCCTGGGGTGATCTCTGCTAAAATATTATTTGCTACATTATAGGTGTCTCAAGTTGAAATCTCCCAGTAGCAAGATGTTTAGGGCAGGAGAAAGAAAGAAGTAAACACACTTTTCTTGACAAACGGAACCAAATAAGAAAAGTTGCTAATGTGTACAGGAAGTTCTTACTTAACGTCATTTCGTTATAACGTTGATGAGAAAAAGAAATCGATTCCCGACCGGGAATGTAAAATATGGAAAGAATTTTAAATATCTGGAAGGAGAATATGCATCAGTGTAACTCTTCATGCTCGTTAATGGCCATACAAATGAAAGCTGCAAGTTTATTTGAAGCTCTAAAGAAAAAAACAGGGTCCTTGTGCTGGAAGTGAAACCTTCGTGGCAAGCCGTGGTTGCTTTGAACGTTTTAATAAACATTCAAAAACCATATAACATACAAATAACAGGTGAGTCTGCAAGTGCCGACAAAGGAGCCGCAGCTGCTTACCCAGCTTTACTATTATGCCAATTTCCTCCCATATGGCTATTTCTATTCAGCTTTTATGATGTATAATGTGTTTCTCATACAATTCTAAAAATCATGTGATATACAAAATAATAAAAATATCAATAATATATTAAATAAACGACTAGCGCCCCAGAGCGACATACTCCGTCGTCATGGAGTCTGCAGCACTACTGCCCCCCCCCCCTTCTCCTCTTATCTCTCCCTTGCTGTAGGAACTTAACTCTTGTTTATATCAATTAGCCTATGGTAAAGTTGGATTCGTTATAAGTCGTTTCGCTTATAGTTTCAGTTTCCATGAACCAATGGACGACCTTAAGCAAGGACTTCCTGTATGCATCTGTGCATAGGTTTGTGGTAAGAGGAAAAAAGAATAGTTTGTCATAGAGGAGTGGTCAAGAACATTAAAGAGTGAGATTCCCAGTCAGCTTTGAACCTGATAGAAGGAGAAAGATTTTCAAGAGCATGAAAGAAAGGTTAATTGCAAAGACATATACGTAGAGAAGCCAGAGAGAAGGACGTAAATCAATAGGAGGAAGTAGAGCAGTTTCGAAATACTTCACATAATAAAGCAGCGCTTCATTTGCATTCTCTAAGAAAACTAAGAACATCATTAAAAGTAACAATAGTAGAGATACATACTCATAATCCAGGCTTGGTAACTTACAGTTTGGATGCAGCCCAACACTTTCGAATAGGCCTTTAGAGTGAAAAATGTGAGCAGAGTGAAAAATGTGAGGAGTGAAAATGTAGACGAGCCAGGAGGCGAGAGGAAAAGAGATAGAACCTCTATAGGAAATGACGTGGCATAGAGGAATACCAGTTTTATGATTTTAGGAAGACCGTAGAAATAACGTAGATAGGGAGAGAAAACGTGGATTCATTGAGCAAGATCAAAGTGAGGAGTAAAGAAAATATGAGGAGGAAATGGATTGGAGGTCTTGTTGATAGTAACATACAAGTGGAAGTCAGAGTGAAGACAGACACTCCAAGTATTGAGGAAGACAGATGATGTTATTGTAGGTAGGCTTGAACTGAAGATATTAACTCCTACATTGAAAATACATTTAATATTAATATAACAGAAACAGTAAAACTATCTATTCTATAAGAATATGATGCTTTTAAAGCAATTATTGCATACTAATTGATTAACCTTAAATTTTTAATTCAGAACTGTTGTTGTTGTAGATTCGCCGGTGCTCTCCAGGCCTGCGTCTTTTCCAGATGGTGACTCGGCCTTGGCTCCCTGGGAGTGTCTCAGACACTCCCTGGGAGTGTCTGAGACCTATGTGTCCCATGGGAGGAGGTACAAGGACTCTCTCATCGTCTGGGACCAACTGTCCCCAGGCCTAACCACATTCCACGCCCTCACGGGGCTCGTAGGGAGAAGCTAGGCCCCTGTGGTCTGCCATCTTTCCCGCCCCAGGGAAACTAATGGGAATAGCAGTCTTGTGAGCTGAAGGTGGTAGCAAGCTCGTGCTCAGGCACCTACCCTGCCCTAGAAGGGCAGGGTAGGTGCCATCTCCTTTGTCCAGAAATTTGTCCATCTCCTTTAATCCAGAAATTTGGCAACAAGATGTCACAGTTAATAAATACTACAATAAACCTAAAGAGGAAGAATCTATATTTTTCTAATTTTAATCTAACTCAAGCAAAATAGCATTAATATAGCCTCTTAGTTTTATAATTTTTGGTGTTTAAGAATAAACTTAAATGTTATTCGTACTTTAGCCGCGAGTAAACATATGATTATTTTTTGTAGGAGACATTTTTGTCAGGTCAGAAATTATGTGGCACTGATTTTATAGATGAAAATTATGAATTTGCTGGGGTGGTTGCGACATATTGTTATAGCACTTTGTACTGTTGATGGTAGAAGTCAAGCTGGTCTAGTTTGTTTATGGAGAACTAATGTATTATATCAGAACTATCACCTGCGAAAGCACTGATTTTTGAATGTCTTACATAATTATGAGTACGATGTTATTTATTTTGTGGTGAGTTTATTGCAGATCTTTTTGTTGATGAGTCCTGGTCTCACTTGGATGATTTCTGCCCGAAAAATAACTTTAACTATTTAGATTTTAATTTGATGAACTTCGATACTTTTACATTTATTATTTATAATAATTCTTATCTTAAATATCTTGATCATATGATACAACTGATATTTGTATTGACAATATGTCTGTTTATATGTTTTGACAGACTCTAATTATCTACCTATAATAGAGAGTATAATTATTGATGTAAATGTTTTTATAAAAGAGGAAAGTTCACAATGATCTGACTAAGTTCCTTGGAAATAACTTAGCAAGATTTTACTGTGTAATATAGTTAAATATTATAGACTAGGCTGTCACTCTACTGACAGCCTGAGACTATCCATATGACTCTTCTATGTTCAATAAGACTTATAAAGCAAAATAAGGTTCATTTATTCCAGATTGGAATGGAAATATTAAATATTTTTTATCGAAATACTGACTAGTCGAACAAGTCTCTAATTTTTAGGCGAATGACTGAAAGTAGAAAAAATCAGTGGTTCTGTCTTTGTGTAGAAATAATGAAAAAAATGAAAGATCATTATCTATCAAAGAAAAATGTCGAAAAAAAGATACGTAGTTATTATGGACAGAGATACAGTATCAATGAAATAAAATTAAGAATGCAAATGTTAATGATGGTAAGAAAAATGTTGAGATATTACGCATATTTAGTGATAATTATGATTTTGCAAATTATGAGGATATGGTAGACTACATTTTTTTTTAGTCTTAGTGCTTCATCAAGTAACATTGGTCAAGTAACATTTGGTAAATTAGCCACCCGATGTGGCTAATTTAGCCAGATTATCCTAAGGAAGATAAGTTTATCTCTGTTGGGGTCCCTTTTACTTCCTTCCCAATGTTACGGCTTGCATCAATCCATTAATATGCTTATACGTATATACTGTTAGGTAAGAGTGGCGGCAGGTGTTACTAAACTGTCTATACGCTCCTCGTCTAGAGAGGGATAAAGTAGTGAAAACAACACTTCGTTCCTTTTACGGGAGTAATTAATTAATTATTATGTGAAAGGATAAAGAGAATGCTAAGATAAGATAAGATTTCGTTCGGATTTTTAACCCCGGAGGGTTAGCCACCCAGGATAACCCAAGAAAGTCAGTGCGTCATCGAGGACTGTCTAACTTATTTCCATTGGGGTCCTTAATCTTGTCCCCCAGGATGCGACCCACACCAGTCGACTAACACCCAGGTACCTATTTGCTGCTAGGTGAACAGGACAACAGGTGTAAGGAAACGTGTCGAAATGTTTCCACCCGCCGGGAATCGAACCCGGGCCCTCCGTGTGTGAAGCGGGAGCCTTAGCCACCAGGCCACCGGGCCACCAAGGAGAGGTGTAACTATGTGTATATTTTATATAACAGCAGAAGAGGAACTGATGTTGAACACTATCTCAATAATAAAAAAAAAAGGGCCAAGGCTGAATCTTTGTTTTTGGAAGTCGAGTTACCTCCATATACTGCTGGCATTGGCACGGTCAGAGAGATTTTTAATTTTCCAGATACGTAGGGAAACAGTGAACAATTTAATTTATTTTTCAGTATGCATACCAGAGTTTAATTATGATCTCCAGTCCTCACACACCATCCACTTACAATTTACTTGCATTTAACATGGAAAATTCTCAAATGGAATGACCCTGGTAGGTTTAGCGTTTTCATTTGCTTATAATAATAATAATAATAATAATAATAATAATAATAATAATAATAATAATAATAATAATAATAATAATAATAATCTCAAATGGGAGAGCACATAAGCATCTAGGCCTACGTTAATATGTATGTAAGTGTTTAGGCCTTTATCTATACGGTATATTCATTCAATAAATCAATGCAGGATGCGACAAGCTACACAATAAAACTTTATTTATTAAAAGCAAAATTTCATAAAGGTTATGGATAGCCATAAGTTATATTAACTTCTTTCATGATGTATTAACTTCATCAGCAGAGTTTGGCATTTCAGTTATTTTCTGGACAAGTGGAATGGGATAATAGATATTTCATTCCAATTTTTCAACAACTTTCTAATATATACAAAAAAAAAAAACTTCCGTCTTTTAAATTTTGTTTTCATTTTTGTCTCGTCGACTGTTACTTATATTACTTAAAAAATATACAAAAAAAAAATACCAACTACAATTTAGGGTAATGGACAATATGATGGGTCTAAAAAAATCCAGTTGGCGAAGATGACAACTCAAAATACTTCTATATCCGTCCAAAATGTGACATGAATTCAACAGAGGATGTTTTGGCTTGAGGAGAGACAGTGTTCGGTACACAGACACATTATCAGATAGTAAAGTCTTCATAGTGGAGTTATATGTAGTGATGAGTGGACTGCTGCTTCGGACACCACTCAACGTCTTCACTTATACTTAACATAGGTAAGACGTGTTTATTTTGTCGAATATCCACACGAGTTTACAGATTTTATTGTTCAGGTTCTAAAGGATACGATAATGGTTTAAAAGATGAACTCAGCACTACAATATATTTCTCTTCCGGGGAAAAAAAATGTAAATCTAAAGGTGAAATTTAGTTATAGCACAATTATTATCATGCTAAATTAAATTTCTTTCATTGACGGCGAATGTCTTATTCACTCACACTCAAACACACACAAAAGTCTCACATATACAACATACATAAACACAAACACATATGAAAACAGACATACACAAGATATAATCGACATTTAACTAGCCCACACAGGCAAGAGTTCATACATAAGAGAAAGCATAATAACGACACATTCACTCTTAGTATACATGCATGTACACGTAAAATTCCACGCTCTTAAATTCTCGCATTTGTACACTCACACAAAATGTACTAGTAACCACTCACACCAACTTAAATACACTTATAAATAGGATTTCGTGGTCCTGTGGGTTAGAGCATCATGTGGTTTTCGCTCACCATGAGGCGGGCCAAAACAACATGGGTTCGAGTCCTTGGCTAGTCGCAGTGCTGTTATTGATATATATATATATATATATATATATATATATATATATATATATATATATATATATATAATATATATATATATATATATATATATATATGTATATATATATATATATATATATATATATATTTATATATATATATAATATATATATATATATATATATATATATATATATGTATATATATATATATATATATATATATATGCAAAACAACCACTCTGAAAGAATAGAGAAATTCCAAGCGCTTTCGTGACTACTCACATTATCAAGGAACTATGAAAGTGAAGCATCCAAGGAAGCTATATAAGGGGTCCGGCCAGCACCTCACTATCAGATCCCACAACGGTTAAACACGTGACGCGCGGCGAGCCAACTTGGATAGGTCCTTTGCAAAACTCACCCCCAAGCTATTTATTTGTCCAGTGTATTATTAAATTCTTCCCAAATTCTATTAATTATAAATGGATCTAATTTATATAAACCAAAGGAAATATTCATATTATTGTCAAAACTGCTTTTTATGAAACAAGATTCAATTATATTCCTGTCGACCATGGACTTGCTTGATACTACTTTCTCAACTTTTTGAAAATCAATTGGATGGTTAAAATCTCTTACATGAATAAATAGAGCATTGGAATCTTGTCCAGTTCTAATGCTATATTTATGTTGTTTTAATCTTAGTTCGAGATTTTTACCAGTTTGACCGTAATAAACTTTATCGCAAATTTTACAAGGAATCTTATAGACACATCCATCAGCATTTTGGGGGGGAATTCTTAATCAAAAGTTTTTTTACTGTATCAAGATTTTTGAATACAACTTTAATATTAAAAGTCTTAAGAAGAGAAGGCATATCAACCAAGTTTTCATGGTAAGGGAGAACCAACATATTTTTAGTTGAATAAGGCTGGTTGCTCCTTTTTGGATTATAAAAACTGTTTCTAGCAACTTTAAAAGATTTATCAATTACATTTCTTGGGTATTTTAAATCATTACCTATTTCATAAATTTTGGATATTTCCTCATCTATAAACTCAGGACTACTAATTCGTAAAGCTCTCAAAAACATTGATGAGAAAACAGACAGTTTGACTCTATCTTGATGCGAGGAATAATAGTGGACATAGGAACAGTTATTTGTAGGTTTTCTGTAAATTTTAAATTTGAATTCATTATTACCCTTAATAATTAAAACATCTAGAAAAGGCAATGAGTTATTTTCTTCAAACTCAACAGTAAAGTTTATAGAATGGGTAATGATTTAAAATACCCAAGAAATGTAATTGATAAATCTTTTAAAGTTGCTAGAAACAGTTTTTATAATCCAAAAAGGAGCAACCAGCCTTATTCAACTAAAAATATGTTGGGTCTCCCTTACCATGAAAACTTGGTTGATATGCCTTCTCTTCTTAAGACTTTTAATATTAAAGTTGTATTCAAAAATCTTGATACAGTAAAAAAACTTTTGATTAAGAATTCCCCCCAAAATGCTGATGGATGTGTCTATAAGATTCCTTGTAAAATTTGCGATAAAGTTTATTACGGTCAAACTGGTAAAAATCTCGAACTAAGATTAAAACAACATAAATATAGCATTAGAACTGGACAAGATTCCAATGCTCCATTTATTCATGTAAGAGATTTTAACCATCCAATTGATTTTCAAAAAGTTGAGAAAGTAGTATCAAGCAAGTCCATGGTCGACAGGAATATAATTGAATCTTGTTTCATAAAAAGCAGTTTTGACAATAATAATGAATATTTCCTTTGGTTTATACAAATTAGATCCATTTATAATTAATAGAATTTGGGAAGAATTTAATAATACACTGGACAAATAAATAGCTTGGGGGTGAGTTTTGCAAAGGACCTATCCAAGTTGGCTCGCCGCGCGTCACGTGTTTAAACCGTTGTGGATCTGATAGTGAGGTGCTGGCCGGACCCCTTATATAGCTTCCTTGGATGCTTCACTTTCATAGTTCCTTGATAATGTGAGTAGTCACGAAAGCGCTTGGAATTTCTCTATTCTTTCAGAGTGGTTGTTTTGCATATTTTTTAAATCACCTGTTTACTGTGATCTTATTGCATATATATATATATATATATATATATATATATATATATATATATATATATATATATATATATATATATATATATATATATATATATATATATATATAATTACACTAACTTAGATATACATAAATATACACTAACACTTGCACAGGTACACACACACACACACACACACACACACACACAACACACACACACACACACACACACACACACACACACAGAAACCAGAGTACCAGAGAGTGTACCTTGATCGAGACAGAACACAAGAAGAAAGGACAATACTGAAATATAGGGTACAATGACGAAAGGAGGAACGAGGTGCAATGATGAAGACGAGCACATGAACCCAGACCCAGGTGGAAGAGCAAACACATCCTCTTCCAGCAACACTCACAGAAAGAAGCCAAAGATGACAACCCCAAAGCAACTGAACAATCTAAACCAAAACCCACATACTGTTCCCTCTGTCCCCACTGCCCACATCACAAACCCTACTCCTTATGCAACTGTCCCCACTGCCCACATCACAAACCCTACTCCTTATGCAACCCCCTATGGGCACTCTGCCCTCACCTCCTCATCACAAGCCCCACCCCCACCACAACCCCCATAGGCCCCCATCAGGACTCCTACTCCCCCAACCCTAATATTCTCCCAGGACCACAGTATTAGAAAAGCTGAAGGTTTGATACACGAATACGGATGGAATAATGAATAAATATGAGGAGTGGCATGAAAGAATCAATGAGAAGACCTCAGACATCATAGCCGTCACAGAGATGAAACTCACTAAGATAACAGATGCAATCTTCCCATCAGGATATCAGATCCTGAGGAAAGATAAGAGCAGAGGGGAAGTAGGGTTTGCACTGCACATTAAAAACCGATGGGGATTTGATGAAATGGAAGGCATGGACGAGATTGGAGAAAGGGACTACACAGTAGGTACAGTTCAATCTAAGGAACATAAGGCAGTCATTGCAGTGATGTATAACCCACCACAGAACTGTAGGAGGCCAACAGAAGAATATGAATAGAGCAACAGAGCAATGATGGGCACACTAGCCGAGGTTGCAGGGAGATCGAGTGGGAAAACCTGGAGCCACATGGGGTCCCGAAACATGGAGAGCCAAGATGATAGATGTGGTACTGGAAAACCTCATGCATCAACATGTTAGGGACACTACCAGAAAGAGAGGGGAGGATGAACCAGCAAGACTGGACCTCGTGTTCACCCTGAGCAGTTCAGACATTGAGGACATCACATATGAGAGGCCCCTTGGAACTAGCGATCACGTGGTTCTGAGCATTGAATACACAGTAGAGCTACAAGTGGAGAGGGTATCAGGAACTGAATGGGAAAAGCCAAACTACAAACGGAGGTTCAGAGGGACAGAGAATTGGTAGGAAAGACAGTAAACGAATTGATGGAATACATAACAACAAAATGCAAGGAGGCAGAGGAAAGGTTTGTTCCCAAGGGCAACAGAAATAATGGGAAGATCAGAACGAGCACTTGGTTTACCCGAAAGTATAGGAAGGCCAAAAACTAAGTGCACTAGAGAATGGAAAAAAATACAGAAGGCAAAGGACTCAGGAAAATAAGGAGATTAGTCGAAGAGCCAGAAACGAGTATGCACAGATAAGGAGGGAGGCCCAGCGACAGTACGAAAACAACTTAGCATCGAAAGTCAAGTCTGACCCGAAACTGCTGTATAGCCACATTAGGAGGAACACAGCAGTCAAAGACTAAGTGATCAGGCTAAGGAAAGAAGGTGGGGGAACTCACAAGAAACGATCAAGAGGTATGTGAGGAGCTCAACACGAGATTTAAGGAAGTGTTTACAGTGGAGACCGGAAGGGCTCTGAGAAGACAGCACAGAGGGGAACACCAACACTAACACTAACCACAATCTTTAACACATCCCTTGAAACTGGGCAACTACCTGAGGTATGGAAGACGGCAAATGTAGTCCCCATTTTTAAGCAAAGAAACAGAAACGAGGCACTAAAGTGTAGACCAGTATCACTGACGTGTATAGTATGCAAAGTCATGGAAAAGATTATAAGGAGAAGAGTGGTAGAGCACCTGGAACGGAACAAGACTGTAAACGACAACCAGCATGGATTCATGGAAGGCAGATCCTATGTCACAAACCTACTGGAGTTTTATGACAAGGTAACAGAAGTAAGACACAAGACAGAGGAGTGGGTTGACTGCATTTTCTTGGACTGCAAGAAGGCCTTCGACACAGTTCCCCACAGGAGATTAGTGCAGAAGCTAGAGGATCAGGCACGTATAACAGGAAGGGCACTGCAATGGA